TCAACGGCAGCCAAAATTTAGCCCAAGCCTCTGCCCTTCTGGGGCCACCTGTTAAGATTCAGCAAGCAATCCACAGATGCTGTGCCTCAAAAGGTTGCACCAGAAACCGAGGCCAGCTGCCTTCAGTGTGAGTCTAGGCGCTGCTCAGCAAGGAGCACCTGACTCGCTGAGGATATACCTGGATGTGGCTTGGATGAGGCCATGAGTTGGGGGAGGTGGGGTTTCAGAGAATCCTCTGGATGGAGCAAAGTCTGTTATCCAGTTTGATGACTTCATGGCTATGGCAGTGCTCTGTCCACTCACTGGTAGCAGAGAGAACTCAACAGGGAACAATGGATACCTCCAGCACTTCTGTACAGAGTGAGTTTCGCCTCGGCCCTCACTCCAACAGTGTCTCCCTGTAAGTCCCTGGTGCCCCCTGCACGCAACCGAATTTGCACTGGTCCTCAGAGTGAGCAGGTCCATCACTGCAAAAATCTGCTCACAGATGCGGCCCCTTTAAGAGGCATCTGCCGTAGCCTCTGTCTCACTCAGCCACTAGAGACCGGGCAGCTCTGCGTTCTCGCTCCGTCCTATCGTCTGCCGTTACAGGGTGATTTCTTGGATTTCTCCTTAGTTATATGGCTTGTTCATCCCAGGCGATTTTTCCTTGCTGCTGCTCCTTGTTTCTGTCACAACTTTGATTTGGTCACCAGAAGGATGAGCAGAGCCTCTATTGTTACAGGAAGTGACATCTGAGGGAGGAAATTGGACACTCCAACAACTTTGTTAGAGGAAGGAGAATTTATTAGCTGGCAGAGCACGTGGGGTTAGATTTCTTACAGTTTATATACCTCTGTAGTGTCTATGCAAGGGGCACGTGATGCCTTTGTCTGAGGTTTTATGGGTACCTCATGACTCAGGAGGGGGAGGGGGAGTTTCAATAGGGAGCCGCAAGGGGGAAGGAATTTCCAGACCACTGGTCTTATAAATTTACAGGTCATTTGGCTTGTAAAACCTGTGACCTTGGCATTATCAGCACTGTTATAGGATTCTTGAATGGAGAGACATGGCACTGAGGCTATAAGCAGGAAGCAGCACTTATTGATGCCAGCACCAGTTCAGCGGATTCCTATCCAAAGGCTGAGCCCCAATTGTAACATAACAGGCAGTTTTATACAGTCTTGTTATTTCTACACAGCTACAGAGATAAGGAAGAACATTAATTGGTTGGCAAGCCATAAATCAACAGACGTGAGCTGGAGAGTTCTTGAGGTGGGGGAGGTAGCTATGAGAAAACATGTTAGCTGGAGAGTCTTTGAGGTAAGGGAGAGGGCAGTTAAGAATGGACTTATTTGAGCAGGAAATGGCCAGGCAGAGTTAGGCTGCCTGTTTCCAGAAGACCATTTAGAGATTTATAGGATGTGGTTAATCTATAACCTGCTGACTCAGTCATTTCTGCAAGCCCTTTCCTTTGCATTTTTTAGAGGCCTCCTCTCCTCTCTTACTATCATTTACACCATTTTTTTCTCCCCTTAATAATCATTTTAAATGTAAATGGATTAAATGCTCAAATCAAAAGACATAGGGTAGCTGAATGGATAAGGAAACAAGACCCATGCATATGCTATCTACAAGAGACCCATTTCGGATCAAATAACACACACAGACTGAAAGTAAAGGGATGGAAAAAGATATTTCACACAAATGGAAATGGGGAAAATAAAGCTGGGGTAGCAATACTTCTATCAGACAAAACAGACTTTAAAACAAAGGCTATAATAAGAGACAAGAAAGGACATTACATAATGATAAAGGGATCAATACAGCAAGCAAACATAACTCTAGTAAACATATATGCACCCAACACAGGTGCACCTACATATATAAAGCAATTATTGACCAACATAAAGGGAGAGATCAACAATAATGTACTCATAGTAGAAGACTTTAACACCAGTAACTATGGACTCCACAGAGATACAAAGGATTATAAAATACTACAAGCAATTATATGCTAACAGATTTAACAATTTGGAAGAAATAGATATACTCCTAGAAACATACAATCTCCCAAGACTGAGTCAAGAAGAAACAAAATCTGAACCGACTGATTACCACCAACGAAATCAAATCAACAATCAAAACACTCCCAAAAAACAAAAGTCCTGTTCTGGATGGCTTTATAGGTGAATTTTACCAAACATTCCAAGAAGAATTAACACCTATTCTCAAACTATTCCAAAAACTTGAAGGAGGAAAGGCTCCCTAATTCTTTTTATGAAGCCATCATTACTTAGATTCCAAAACCAGACAACGATATTACAAAAAAAGATAACTATAGGCCAATATCCCTGATGAACATTGATGCAAAAATCCTCAACAAAATATTAGCAAACCAATATCAGCAATACATTAAAAATATCATACACTATGATTCAGTTGGATCTATTTCTGGGATGTAAGGTTGGTTCAATATCTGCAAATCAATTAATGTAATACACTACATTAACAAATTGAAAGATAAAAAACCATATGATCATATCAATAGATGCAGAAAAAGCACTCAAAAATTCAGCATCCATTTATGATAAAAATTCAGCAAAGTGGGAATAGAGGGAACATACTTCAATATAGTAAAAGCTATATATGACATACCTTCAGCTAATATCATACTCAATGGGGAAAGGCTAAAAGTATTTTCCTTAAGATCAGGAACAAGACAAGGATGCTCACTTTCACCACTTCTGTTCAACATTGTCTTGGAAGTCCTAGCTACAGCAATAAGACAAGAAAGAAATGAAAGCCATTCAGATTGGAAAGGAAGAAGTAAAACTGTCATAATCTGCAGGTGACATGAGACTGTATATAGAAAACCCTAAATATTCCACCAAAAACTGTTAGAATTGATAAATTCAGCAATGTAGCAGAATACAAAATTAATATTCAGAATTTGGCTGCATTCTTATACACCGATAATGAACTTTCAGAAAGAGAAATTAAGAAAATCCTGTTTACAGTTGCATCAAAAACAATAAAATACCTAGGAATCAAGTTAACCGAGGAAGTAAAAGACCTATTCTCAGAAAATTATAAGACATTGAAAAAATAAATTGAAGAAGATATAAATAAATATACTATGCTTATGGGTAGTGCTTATGGGTAGGAAAAATCAACATCATTAAAATGGCTATACTACCCAAAGCAATCTATAGATTCAACGCAATCTCTATCAAAATACCAGTGACATTTTTCAGAGAACTAGATCAAATAATCCAAAAATTTATATGGTACTATAAAAGATCCTGAATAGCCATGACAATCTTGAGAAAAGAGCAAAGTAAGAACTATCACACTACCTGATATCAAACCATACTACAAGGCTATGTGTAGAGCCAAAGGGGTGATAATCAGGGGGGATCACTTCATAAACTATATAAATGTCTAACCAATGTACTGTATATCTGAAACTAATAAAAAAATAGTTTATCAATGGAAAAGAACCTATTTTCCTTTTTCTCTCGATGCTTTAAGATTTGAATGTTTTTCTAAAACCAGGACAACGATTTAGCATTTCAGTTAAAACAATATAAAATACAATTTGGTAGGGATAGATAGATAGAGTTAATTGGGAATCTGTAGACCGACCAGGCATCTATCTGATTGGTTAAGTTTTCCGTTGACTCGGCCAACTGCAGACACTCTGATTCTGCACGTCTCACCAGGTCTCACTGGCCTGTGTCTGCACTCTGTGCTTTTCCTGTATCTATAAAACCTCCATTTTTTTCATCCTCAGCTTGATGTGTTTGATGCCGCTGAGCGTTACCAGCAGGCGGGCCTTCCCCTGATCATTCTGGCCGGCAAAGAGTACGGCTCGGGCAGCTCCCGGGACTGGGCAGCCAAAGGCCCTTTCCTCTTGGTGAGTATGACATAGGGACATCTCAGCAAAGAGCTGCACCTCTGGACGAGAAGGGAAGCTGGGGAGGGGCCTAGGAATCAATGCTGTTGCTTTAATTTCCAGGAAGATTCATGGAAGAGCAAACTCAGAATTATGTGATGGTTGTTCCTCATCTGCTTCTTGGAGGATCCAGCTTCATTCACTCAGTGAAGGAGAATTTAGAGTTGAACTGGTTCCCTCAGATCAGACATATACTGGGAACCATGGGTCTTTAGGAGTGTCTGTACAATAGTTGGAGGGATGGTCTGTGAAGTCTCCAAAATTATGTCCAAAATTATGTCTTTTTATGAGGAAAAGTTGATTGTTTTCATAACGTTCTCAGAGTTTGAGGACCCAAAATTTATCTAAGGCCACTGTCACAGGTGAACGTGAGGAATAAGCCAAGGCTGCTACTACTGAGTGATCTGCCAGGTTCACGAGTGGGAAAAAGTAAGGAGCCTGAGCTTTGGGTAAATTTGGGGAAAGTACTTTTTATAATTGCCTTTTACTGCCTGTGAAAATCCACTTATAGACTCAACAGAGAAGGACACTGTCTCTATAGACAGGCAGCTCGTTAGAACCTTCAGCCATTGCAAGACAACCTGCCTGAGGTAACCCCACGGGAGGGGCACCAGGGAGCAGAGAACTTTTACCTCTTGAGCTTTCGTTTGCCATAAAAGCAGGGAAGAATCTTGCTGCCTATCAGGCTTTAATTCTCAGGGTATGGCAAAATGGTTTATTTGATGTCAATTTAAATAACGTGTGGCTTAAGCCAATTAATGCACTTGGGAAACACTAAGTTGATATCTACAAGTACATTTAAAAAAATGTACTTGTGGATATCTGTAGGCAGCTCTCCAGACGTCCAGGCTTCTGAAAATGTCTTTGAATATCACATACCTATTTCGTTTTTTTTATCAATCATTTTACTCTATTAAAAAAAAAATGTTCTCTGATTACGCAGTAATGTGTGAAAGCTTGCCTTTTCTAGAAACTGTTAAAAGAACCAGAAAAAAGAAGGAAGGGATCTTAGGAAGGGAGCTGGGCAGTAGGAACAAGAACAGTGAGCAATTGGGTGGAGAACTGTAAAGTCTACCATAGGATAAGGAGAACTGACACCCAGGGGCGCTCCAGAGTCTAGACTTCTCTACAGAGATGCTCTGAGGGCTGTCTTCCCAGACACCACATACCTCATTCAGTAGCTGCCCAGCCTGGGCCACACAACAATCTTGGGGTGTATGCACAAGATTTGAGAAAGGGATAGACAACCGTGATCTGTGGCATCCGTAGCCCAACCGTGATCTGTGGCATCCGTAGCCCTGCACAGCCATTTACACAAAGCTAGGGAAGTGAATAGTATGAATTTACAAAGAACTCTACGTCCCTTCCAGAATACATAATAAATATCCATAAATCCATACAAATATCTACTCTCCTAAAGAATACATTTTCTCTATAAATTTGTTTCTAAATTTGGAAATACTTGTGGGATTTTTAAAAATAATTGTGCCTAGACCTCATACCCAGAGATTCTGGTTTAATTGGTAAAGAGAAAGGCCTGGATATGAGAATATTAAAAGCCTCCTCTGGTAATTCTAATATGCAGCAAAGCTTGCGAACCACTCTTGCAGAGTCATGGCTCTCATAACTTACAGGAATCACTGTCTTCCTCCTGCCCCACACTACCTGCATGAGATTCTGATGCAGTAGATCTAGGGTAGTGCCCAATATTCTACTTTTGTAATAAGTTCCACAAGTGACCCTGATGCATAGGGTTTTAAAAGTATACCCTAGATATCAAGAGATACCCTTTTTAGGGGTATCTTAATACTATACCACAGTTAAATAATGTTTGAGAATGGAGTTTTCTAGTTAATAGAGTATCCTGGTCTATTGATCATTGCTATATATTGCCAGATGTAGATCACAAAAAAAAAAATGTACTTTATAGTAAGCTTAATATCAAGATTATAGTCAATATAATTTGATCCTTGAAACAGGAAGTATAAAAGCAACGCACAATAAATAATCACTTTCTCTGTGGTATATTCTGATTGCTCTTTGATTAAATCTTCTGTGTCTGCCAATGCACCTACAATAATAGCAAAATTCAAGGGAAAGAAATGAATTTTCTTTATGTTTTGTGATGCAGATTCCAGTTACAATGGAAGTTTGCTAAGAGATATTGTATCACAGTGTCCAAGTGCATGATCAGACTACGGGTTCAAATACCAGACATAACACTGACTACCTGAGTACAGGGGACAATAATAGCATCTACTTCTCAGGGTTGGTGGAGGGGGAATGAGAGACGTCATTTAAGTGCTTACATAGTGCCTGTATTTTATAGGCATTCAGTTAAAACTGGCTACTGTGTTATTTATAACTAGAAGGTAATATTTTGTGTAAACTATTAATTGGTACTTACAAAGAATTTAGGTGTGAGAAGAGTTTTGACTTAAGCCTTTTGTAAAGTTTCTGAGTATCTGAAGGAAAATTGGAACTGTGTCCAAACTCCTGTCTTGGCCCATCAGGGAATCAGAGCTGTCCTGGCTGAGAGTTACGAGCGAATTCACCGTAGTAACTTGGTCGGAATGGGGGTGATACCCCTCGAATATCTTCCTGGGGAGACTGCAGACACCCTGGGACTCACAGGGCGGGAACGATACACTGTCATCATTCCAGAAAACCTCAAACCCCAAATGAAAGTCCAGATCAAGGTAAGCTGGAGCCTCTCCAAGCCAGGGCCAGCCAAAAGGGACCTTTATTTGTCATCAGCATTGTTAGAAGGAAATCAGTGGGATTTGGAAGGAAAAGGAAAAAAAAAAATGCTCAATAGGACCACATTAGACTTGAGTTCTACAAGCACCTCCTCCATCTGCCTTTACAACATAGTGAGCTTAATACCTATCATTATTTATTTCTGTTTATTCATAGAGTTATCATCAGTTCCATTCTTACCTCCCATCCCCAACTAGCCCCACTGCCTCCAATTCCCCCAAGTCTCACTCGGCCCAGAGAATAGTGATGAAAACTTAGGGATAGGACATTACCTAAAAAACACCTTTTTATTATAAAAATATGAACAGCAGACACACTCCCTATCCCTGAGCCTCACCCCGATACGACAGCTCTCTAGGCAAGGTGAAGATGAAGTGTGCAGCACCAAGGTCCCAGGGGGATTAGACATCGACGCTGAGGCAGCTGCTGAGGTCTGTGTCCTGGATGAACAGGGTACCTAAGAGACAACCTTAATGAAACCTTTGCTAACCTGAGACACTTCTTTCTGCAGAGAGCTCCCAGGGAGGGTTTAGAAAATATCATCCCAAACGTCACTAGTAACTGCTGCTCAGAGAGGCCATTTCTAATTCTCACATATCTTTCACTTCCATCATTGATAGTCTATAGATAAGTCTGCTGGGGATCTTGTTAAAATACAGCTTCTGATTCAGCGAGTCTGGACTAGGGCAAGAGATTGAGCATGTTTCCAGGCCAGGCTGACGATTCTAATATGCTGGTGATGCCGAGTGTGCCAACTGCACTCTGAATGGCCGGCCCGAGGGCAGGCTGGGCAGGAATTCCTTTCACAGTGATTTTTCTCTGCTTCTTTGTTGTTGTAGCTGGATACCGGGAAAACCTTTCAGGCTGTCATGAGGTTTGACACCGACGTGGAGCTCACTTATTTCCACAACAGAGGCATCCTTAACTACATGATCCGCAAGATGGTCAAGTAGGCCCTCGTTTCTTAGGAGAGCTGCATTTGGAGCTACACCAGGGAGCATGTGCACCAGGGAGATGAGCCCCTGGTGCAGAAGCAGAAGCATCCCCCCCACCTCCATGCAAGGTGCTGCCTTGCAGATGGAGCACATGAGCACTGGCATTCTGGTGCCATTTCTCCAGGCACAAAATCAGCAGTTTCTACATTCTCTATTTTTGTTAATCTTTTTATCTTTTTCTATAATTTGGAAACTAGAATGGTGGGAATGTCAGTAGTGTCAGAAAGAACTAAGATCGTCTTTATAGTTACTGCTCATAGAATGTCGATTTTTCACTCTTAGCCTGTTAATGTTCAGCTGGACAAAAATAACTCTTCTCGGAAGCTATCTCCTGTCCTCTTTTTTGAACTTGTTTTCCTCAGCTCAATGAAACCTTTCCCTTGAGGGTCATTTGCCTTTGCATATTACACCAGTGTTAACTGACATGGTAGATAAGAACTTTTTAACACTTCAAATCACAGTAGTGATTACGATTTTTCCCTTCCTCCTTTCCTTCAGAGTGCATGATCCAGAAACCTCATGGACAGGTCAGATGTTGAAACTTTTTGATTATGTACCTTTTGATAGGTGAACATTAAAGAAATGTGAAGTTTTCTTTTACTATCTTCAAAAATTTTCCCCAGAAAACTTTTTATTTGTCAAAAGGATAATATGAAGTTGGTTTTAGAGAGAGACACAGAACATTTCTAATTTGAATAAAATAAATCTATTTTCAAGGAAAACTTTTTGACTTTGGAATTAAATTTTGCCGTGTGTGTGGCTATAGTTTTGAGTCCTTTAGTGAATCTCAGATGGCAGCTTCCTGAAGCCTGGATGACTTTCAGGGTCTCTTGTTTTTACAACCATGTCAGTGCTATTCAGGAAAATGGAAGTTCCAGGAAACCAACATGTTCTCCGCCCCATTTGAGAGCAAACAGGAAGGTAGCAATAGCAATAATCAAAAGCACTAAGCATGTCCATAAAATAGTCATGTGAATCATACTTCCTACTATAATGGCTGGCAAAACTTAAAATAGCCTTCACAAAGAAACATATGATATGCATTAACTGTTTCAGACATAATTACACTCACTTCCAGGGCATAAACCCACTGAATGGAACAACAAACAGAAGAGCCCTCACCATTTAAAATCTTTTTTTCTCTCTCCTCTTTCAACCACAGAGAGTATTGTTCAATTACAGTTAAGTTAAATGTATATATGACATAACTTCATTCTATTTCAAAATTTAAGCCTTAGCTAAGTACGACTAAGAACCCTGGATATTATATTTAAAAGGAACATGATATTCTGAAGGACAAAGAGAAGAAAGCAGATGAGCTAGAAGCGTCGATACTCCAGGAGTAACACGGTTGTGAGTTCCCTGAGATTTCTTTTCACCTCATGTGTCCCAGATTGGGGCTGAAGAAGTTGGCAACCAGAAATGCCTGTGGTCACAGATTTAAAAAGTCTTGACAAAAGCCTACTCTAACCAAAGGACCAGGAAAGGAGCTGCCTAGCAAGACAGAAAACTTTTAAACAATAACTATTCTACTCCAGCCAAACACCACAGGGAAAAAAAAAAAAAAAAAGGGACCCAACCCCACCCGTGCCAATAAGGGCTGAGTAGGGAACCTAGATTTCCACTTTTCAGGGCTGTAACAAAGCAACCCAACACTCCCACCTGGTGGTGTCAGTGGAATACCTCCCTCCCACACCCAAAAGTATCAAGGAAACTCCCCCTTGCTGGGATCAACAGAGGCTGAGTGGGAAACCTAGATATTTCCACCTCCACCTGGCAGTGATGAGACTGTGTTCCTACCTCCTGTGCCAGAACAGTGTCAGACAAAGCTAGCTAACACAAAAAGTTAAATAAGATCTTGAGTCTCATAATAGAATATTTATCCTTTGGCTAAATTTCTCGAAGTGAAAATCCTGGGTTGCATGGTATACATTTTCCTATGAGCAATTTTAATTTCTTTTTCTCAGATATGGTTCTAATCTCTACTCGAGATGGGGAGAATATGATAGGAAACGGTCAAAACGAAATTGCCCTTTGGCATCTAATTTTTTAAAACTTCATTTATATCTAATGATATTCAATTACATACTAAAATTCAAGTAAATACTAATAATCCCAAATATTGTAAATGTTACTATAGGCAGTAAATCTCAATAAGTTAAAACTATTAGTACTGTTCTTTAAATAAAACTTAATAACTGGGTAAAGAGGTTCAATAAACGTCACAAATGAAATTTATAGCACACTGCTTCTTCCCCCAACTTGTGGTTGAAGAAACAGCCTACTCCATGCACTATGGTGGAAAAAAGCAAAACTATGACAGCCTGATTGTGTGCAGTCATAGGTACACATCATGTTGGAAATTCTTTAGTCCAAATGAACTTCCTTTCACCCCACATCTTGTTCTCTACTACATGAGGAAAGAAAGAGGCCTTCCTCGTTTTGATTCCAGATAACCCTTCACAACTAAAACTATGGAAAATACCCTTTATACCTTATTTATCCAGAATGAAATACTACCAGATCCTGAAGCTTCCATTACAGAAATCAGTCCTTGAATTCCCTCTGGACTGTCTACATGGTAAAATGGCTGCAGAGTAACTAGAGATTCCTTGGGGACACACTGCCCTAGGGAGGATTGGCCACACCTAGCCAATGGACAATGCAGCTGTGAAGCTGAGGAAGAAAGTATACAGTCTCCCTCTCTGTCTTCTTGGAGCTTGCCTCAAAGAGCTCCAAACTTCTGCCTCTCTTCTGCAGTTTCTCCCCCCATTAAAGATGATACACATGGACCAGGGCGTCAGATCCAATTCCCAAGCCCTTATCAAAACACCACAGAAAGGAAGCTCACCCCAAGACCCATAATTCCTTTTAGTTTTAAGAAGATAAGGTTTTCCCTACCTTATTATACTTTTACTAAGACTTTCAAAGCAAAATCTCCCTCTTTCAACAGAGCTGCTGGGGCTGGTTATCTGCGCTAGGACAGGGATAACACCAAGACTCCAAGCTCCTACCTGCCATGCAATTACCAGCTACCAATGACTCCTGGCTACACTTGTCTAGGCCCCTTCTCATTCTTTACCATCTCTGCCCATTTTCTATTTATGGCTGTTAGGAGAATCCCAGATGCTATTCAATAGCCTAGTTCAGCAGATATCTAACCCATTTTCTCTTCTCTCTACTCCTTGACCTGGTGTGCTGGCTAAAAAAGAATGTCTGTGTTTGGTCCAGCCTCCATTCTCCTCAGTAGACGTTTACTCTATTTCTTCTGCCACATATAAATCTAAGTAGCTTGTCATCCAATGGAGGGAATAAGAATTATATCATGAGTGTTGTAGCTAATATGGTTCTGAAGCCTTTATTGGCAACATCCCCAATCCTGTAAAATAGGATGGTGGCTGGGCAAAAAATCTCTATTCTCATTAATATTAAAAAGGAAAATGAAGATAATCTAAAGAATTTCCCTGCAATCCTTCTCACTAAATATGTGGAAGAAGTGTTTTAATATATCTTTGTCTCCAAACTTTAGGAAGAAATCGTTTTTTAAAAAAAAAATGAGTAAACACTGACATAAAGTTGTAATTTTATCTTGTATTAATTTGCTTTCAATCACTGCTTCTCAATACTTTCTGAGCACAGAGCTTATGACTTTTTTAAATTATGGACACTATGAAGTTGTTCTACTGAATCGTGAGATTCGTATTTTTGAAGTTAAAGTATGCCTCACACCTCTGTCCAATAACAACTCTCATTTTGGAGCACTTTTCTTTATGCCACTGTGCCAAGCAATACATACATCTCATTTTATCCCCCAAACTGCCCTGTAAGTTAAATACCATTATTTTGTCAACTTTACAAATGAGGAGAGTGATGATTTAGAAGTCAGAGTAACTACCTGAGATCATACATCTTGTGAAAAAGAGAACTGGTATTGGAACCATTGATTCTAATGTTAAAGCTCTCCCCGAGCCCTGAAGTGTTCAATGCTTTTAGAGATTCTGAGATGAAAATGTCTGCAAAGGGTCTAGAGAAAGCATGGATGTGTGTGCATGTGCATGCCTGTGTGTGTGTGTCTTTTCTCAATCTAGTCCCATGCTTCTGTGTTATAAAGAAAAGTACAATAAAAACAGAGGTCACTACAAAGAGGTTGAACTGAACAGGTGTACCACTCTACAGTACATGTTATTATCTGTACCTATGATTAGGCATTCCAACACTTGCACAATGCAATGGGAGCTTTTCTCTGAGGACTGCAGATTGTGTGTGTGTGTGTGTGTGTGTGTGTGTGTGTGTGTGAGAGAGAGAGAGAGAGAGAGAGAGGAAGAGAGGGAAGAGGAGGGGAGAGGAGAGGAGAGACAGGAGAGAGGAGAGAGGGAGGGAGGGAGAGGGAGATTGATTTGAGGAAAAGACTTAGGGTGTAGTCCTCAAGGCGAACTGTCAACTTAAGAGCAATTCTAGCTCAGTTTGCCTTTTAGATCTAAAAACATAACTTCAGGTATCAATACTAATAAAATATATTTCAATCTTATTGAGATTTAAAAGCATAAAGGATAAATTTGTGTTCACTGAAGTACAAAATTTTAGGCATAAACTCATTGTTCTAATGTAACAGAGCAATATGATAAAAAGTACCAGCCATGCTTACATTCGTCAGTTTTTCTTTGTATACATTTATGTTTTTCTTTTTCAATTACACCATTATTACCAGGCGGAAGGAAGCACTTGCTACCCATTGCTCTTCCTCTGCCAATTTTATTTGGTGCCCGTGACTTAAAACCCTAATAAATCTGAAGATAGATAAACAAACGGTTAGGGACACAGAAGCATGGGAGTAGATTGAGAAAAGACACACACACAATCCTGCTTTCTAAGGAAGTTGAACTGTTAGAGCCTGGACCCAAATGCAGATGTGCACCTGCACATTAAAGACATAGATAGACTAGGAACTCACCTATAACTGGCCTTCTCAGAGTCTCCATTGTGCAATGTGATCAGATAGTCACATTATCAGAAACACTGCTTTAAAGGCAATCCAATATGAACCCTCAGGATGACACTTGAGGGTTCTAAGATGAATAGTAAACAGATCCTCCTTCAAGAGCCTCCTAGAGAAATAATATGTTCACAACCACCAGAATCTAGGTAGAAAGTGGTAAGTACTATAAAGAAGACAGGTATAAAGAGTTATGGGCCTTCAAAAGAAAGATTGTTGCCACTTAGGGGAATTAGGGAAAGGTGATATGGAGGCAGCAGAAGAGGTCAAATAAAGCAACAGTACATGAGCAATTCCTTCAGCAACGAAAAAATGATGAAGTCAGGTTGGCCAAAGTGAATAATGAACAAAGGAGAATGAGAAATAATGTTGGAAAGAGGGCTTAGGCATTCCCGTAGCTCAGAGACTCCAAACAGCTCATACCTGTGGGATTCCAGCCTGCTCCTGACCACCTGCTCTACAGAATTTAGATCTGCTTTGCCAGTCCATTTGTATATACCAATTTCTTGTAATAAATCCCTGTGCATATACACAAGTACATAAACTACATACACACACACACACACACACACACACACACACATAATCTCTTACTGGTTTAGTTTCTCTGGTTAAACCCTGAGTGATATGAGC